GGCTGTGAGCATGGGGATGGGCTGTGGGGATGGGGATGGGCTGAAGCCAGGATGAAAATGGCAATTTGTTTAAAAATAGGTCTGTTTGCCCTCACAGGGGCTCTGGCCTTCCCCACAGCAGCTCCCTCTCCCCAGGGATCAGCTCTGCTCTTCCCAGATTGTCCCAGCACCCCAAGAGCCAGGCTCCGGGGCTCATGGTGCCCAGGATCAGCCCAGTACCCAGCTGGGAAATGGGCACAATCCCACAGCATTTGTCTGTCTTCAGTGAGGGCATTTGGTTTTATTTATGATTGTAAACATGTGGCTGGTGGCTCTGATCCTCTGAGGCCTCCAGGCACAGCTGCAGAACAAATCATAGCCTGGAATCTCTTCTGGGTGAGGTATTTCCTCCGTGTAGTCAAGGGATTAAACTAATAACACCCAATTTCCCGCTATGCTGATATTAAGGAAAATTACTCTGTGGGAAACCAGGAGCTCATTGGTTCAAGTACATTTTCCTTTGGGAATGTCTCTTCAGGGGAGTTTTCTTATTTTTCTTTATCATCACAGGCAAACTCGTCCATTGTATGTTGGCTAGTGATGTTTCTCTGCATTTTAAGTGGCTTGCCAAAGCAGGGCTTTATATTATTTATTTTATTTAGTATTTTTTCTTAGCATATAGTTTAAAAAGCCAGAAGGATAAAAACAGGTTATCCTCTGTGCTATCTACTTTTCAAGCCTGGCTTCACTAGCCAGTGCAGGTTGGTAAGTGTTTTACCACTACTGTGTTACCTGTGAGAGTTGTGTGGAATCAAACCAATGGATTTAGGTCTAAGAGATCCCTATTGCACTGTTGGTAAAAAAAAAACAAGCTTATGGTTTATTTTACTAACTATCAGATAAGGGCCAAGGTCCATTTCCTGCATGTAACAAACTGTCCCTTTGAAAGGGAGGACACATTAAAATGCATTGGCTGAAAGAACAGAAATATGTGGCAAATGTAAGTTGTACTGTTTGAGTTAAGATATAGTAAGCATCTTTCCTTGAACTAGCACCAGATAGACTGGTTGAAGTGAAGATTCAAAGATAACTTGGAAGACAAGCTTCTCCTACTTTTTTTCGTCAGTCACAGGAATTATTATAAAGAAATCAGCAACACTCATTCAGGTGTCTGCAAGTCACCACCAGGCAAATAAAGTTACCCATCACATTCCACAGCTAGGCACACTCTTGTCAAAAATTGGACAGAACATCTTTTATGATGGAGCCAGTGAAGCCATAATTTCCTCCAGAAATTAATATTATATTCAGGGAAGGAGGATGGTAGACTTTAAAGATATCAACATTACTATCCCAACTGAGAGGAAGAAGAATTTGTGAGTATGTGGAGAAAATATCCTCAATGTTCTTTGCTGTGCCAGCAGATATCATAAACCCTCAAATGCCTATGGTCAGAGAAGTTACATTGCCTCTGACAGATCTGGCTGTGAAGATGCACAAGATGTTTCAAGAATGATGTGTCTGAGTATACCCTAAGCTTTTCTGGATAGTTGAGAAATGCTTATAAATTTATGAATTTTAATAATTGCATTTAGCACAATTGCTGACATGCCATCCAGCTACTCCCTGGCATTCACTTTGCATATAGAATAGAAATAAAAGGTAAGATTATATGATTTCAAAACCAGTTTGAGTTTTGTTTCTGCTTTTAAAAAATCAACAATCATATGTGTTTAATCTTTAGATCCCTGTGGCTGGTATATTATCATGAAAAGACTTAAACGTAAGTTTCTATAGTGATTTGTTCAAGATTTTGTCAATCTGTCCCTGTTAACTCTTACTGTTATTATTGACCAAAAGGTTCTAATTAATGATCTAGGTAATGATTCAGTGTCTACTAGAGACAATGCAAAGCATTTTTACTGTCAGATATCTGAAGATATATTGAAGTGTCTAGAATGCCTGATTTCATATCCAAAGATAGAATGTTAATATGGAGATATAAACTAAATTGAAGAGGATTTGAGTATATATATTTCTTATACCTGAATTTTTAGAAAAACAAAAGATAAGAGTACTAACCCTTTGATCTTTTAGAAAGTTTTTTAGTACCTCACCAAAGCAAAATCTATGAATCTAAATTACTGGTATGGAATAAAACTGGTATGGCATAAAACCAGCAAGTGGCAGTATTTGACAAAATTTGTGAGATGGATAGGAAACTTTTAAAAGCAAATGGAGATTTACACTATATCAAACTATAAGGTAATCACTTCTGCTAGCATTCAGAAAGAAACATATCTCATTTCCAGCATATTTTTTTTCTTTTCTGTTAGGTCAACACTTCAACTAGAGAAATTGGAAACAGAAGACAAATTTCCCATGGATATTTATATGCAGGGTCAACAAAAATGACCCTGCACATTTTATAAAAATTCTTCTATAAAAACTGGCTAAGAATAGAAACATATATCAAAACCATTTGGAAGTTTTATTTATCAGAAACCTTCCCTGCCAGCAATTTAGAATAGCATAAAATTAATATTATAATCATACAATTACAGAACTGTTTAGGAAAAGATCACCTTTAAGATCATTGAGTCCAACTATAAACATAACACCTCATGTTGTGGATTCAACAGGGCATGAAAAAAGTCTAACTTAAATGACTTATGAGGCATCAATAACATATTAACCAAGAGCCTGGAAGTTACATGTAACAAATGGCAGAAATGCTATAGTACATATTACATCTAAATTGCCTAAGGACTGTGACAGTGTCTATGAACTTTTATTCTCACTATCAGAATTACAGGTGTAATAGCACAGATACTTCTGAGGCATAGCACAATAGTCTATCAAGATCCCAAATGCTAAAATCTTTTCAGAACACTTTTTATTTCGTACAGAAAACATAATTTTAACTATGTACTTTTTTCTGAAAAAAAAAATCATCATAAAACACCAAAATTACACAAAGTAAACTGTCATCATATTTTCCTAAATGCTATGAATATCCCAATTTGGTGCTATCTCTATATTGCTGTGTTTAATTATCTAACCTCAGAGGTTCTGCTGCTTTCAGTACAGGCAGTGCAGGATGACAGATTTACAGCTGCCAAGATGCTCTAATGTGAGTAGCATTTCTGCAACAAAAACTTGTGCCAACATTTGCACTTTGTGGATCAAAAGCGTTAGAGGTTTTCCTGGACTAGGAAACAAATTTAATTTTCAGATTAAGACATGCTTATATCCCAACACTGATCACAAATGCAGAGGAGGTGATACACATAGCAGCTTCTTGCTGAATTGACATTGAGGTGATGAACTTTTTAACCTGCTTATTCTGTAAATTCTCTTCTACTTCAGACTGGTATCTTCTGCTGTAAAACAGCTGATGTGGTTGAGTTTCTGAGCAACTTAGTGTATTGAAATAAAAGACTAAGCTCAGCCCTGCAAGAGTATTTAGAAATGCACCCAATTTAGAAGTGTACCTAACTGGTAAGATTCTTCTAGGAGTCTCTGACCACCCTAGAAAATCAGTAATCATACTGATGGCAAGTCAGTAAGCCTCCCTTACCTCCAGACACAGACTGAGCCCACAGGTTCTCAGTTAACCAGTGGACTGGTGAAGGAGAAGTTGTGCTGCTTTAGAGATGGAGAGAGACATAGTGACTCACGGAAAACATTGTCAAAGATAATGAATCATCTCAGTGTATTTTAATTATGGGCTCATTTGTGATTTCCAGCATCACAGCAGACTTCCATGCTCTGATTTTCTTGGTGAGGTATTTGACTTGATGTTAAAAAAGAAAAAAAAGTGTCCAAAAGTAATCCCCCAGACTCATGGGCTAAACACAGATTTTCACAGTGAGATTCAGAATAACAGAATCACAGGGCGGATGAGGTTGGAAGGTACCACAATGAGTAATCTGGTCCAAACTCCCAGCTGAGGCAGGGTCGTTCTAGAGCACATGGAACAGGATTGCATCCAGACAGTTATCTCCAGTGAGGGACATTCTACAACCTCTCTGAGCAATCTCTTCCATGAATTACTACAGTTAAATTTTAGGCAAGAATGGCCTCTACATTGTTTCTTGAAGAAAAAGAGATTCAGGCAATGCTGCAGAAGTGCCATGGCTTATTTCTGGGGTGGAACTGGGTGTGCTGACATCCATAATTTATAGAAGAATGTGTTGTTGTTAGACATAATAGCTTACTTGTGATCACTGTTTGTCAACATAGAAATGATATGCCAGTGTTCACCTGGGATAGGCAAAGGGTTGTGATAAGGTATTGATCTGCTTAGGACTGGCTGACATCATGTAAGAATGATCAAGTATTTAGGGCAATGTTAGAAATCTCAAAAGCAATCTAGGGTTTTTTTTTTGTTTCCAGGCAAGATTTGTTTTGAGAAAGTGTTAAGTTCATGTGAGTTGTGGCTGCAACCATTGTTCTTCTACATGACAGTCTAGTGGGTCCTCTTATACCTCCTTGCCTGTGCACCCACTTACCCAAAACCACTGCCAGAAAGTAATTCAGGGCAAATCCAACACATTGTCCTGGCTCAGCAGTCAGAGCTGCAGCTCTCACAGAGGACAGTCCATAGGCTGTGTATGTGGGTTTTCAAACCAGGGCAGAAAAGGAAATTGGCTCGTTGGACTTGGTTCTTCCCATAAGGGTTTCTCTTTCCCTGATCTATTTTTCCCCCCTCATCTTTTTCTCTTTGCTTTCTGTTCTCCTTTCCTCTCCTTACCCTTTCTTTCCCCTTCTCTAGTTCCCTCATTTTGCCTTCCTTCCCTCCTCTGCCGAGGTGCAAGCTGCCGTCCCGCTCAGAGGGTGCCTTCACGCTCTCCCCCCGAGCTCGGAGGAGCAGCAGCCGGGCTGCCGGGCGTTCCCCGGCCGCAGCCGTGCCCGGCGCGGCTCTGCCCGCGGTGCGTGCGCAGGGCGGCGCGGAGCCCCGCGCGGGGCGCGGCCGCCCATCCCTCCGCCGGCCGGGGCGGGCCCACCGCCGTCCCCTCCTCCAGCCCGCGCCGCGGACGGGATCGCCCCGCCGCCGACCCGAGCGGCAGCCGGGAGCGGAGCGGGCGCGACGCGGATCTGCAGAAGCCCCTCTTCTCTTCTTCCTCCTCCTCCTCCTCGCCCTCCGCCCGGCAGCATGGCCCGGTGCGAAGCGGCGGCCGCCCCCGGGCTCTGCCTGCTGCTGCTGCTGCTGCTGCTCCGCAGTGGGGGGCTCTTCCCCCCCGCCGCCGCGCAGCCGCCGCCGCAGCGCGGGAGCGTGTGGTGCCCCAGCCGCTGCCTCTGCTTCCGCACCACGGTGCGCTGCATGCATCTGATGCTGGAGAGCGTCCCCGCCGTGTCCCCGCAGACCACCATCCTGTGAGTGCCCGGCGGGGGCTGCCGCGGCGGCCCGGGGCAGGGAGGGGGGCGGAGGGAGGCAGGAAGGGAGGGAGGGAGGGCAGAGGCGAAGGCGGAGGAGGGGATGGATACCTGGGGCGAGAGGCACCGGGCTGGGTGGCGGCAGAGCCTCAGCTCTTTGTCTGCGGTCGGGGGAGGGGGCCGGACCCGCGGCGGCGGCTCTGCCCGAGGGGCCCGGGTGTCCCTGCGCCGCTCCGGGGCTGCGCTCGCCGGCCCGGCCCCGCTGCCCGCTCGGCCCCGCGGTCCGGCCGCGCCCGGCGCGCTCCTGCCCGGCTCTGGCGGCGCCGGGTCCAGGGGTCGGAGCGGTGCCCCCGGCTCTGCGGGGCTCTTCGAGGTGGATGTTCTGGTTAGCGTGCGGGTCTTGTGTCCCAGTATAGTCGTTCCTAGAAGGATCTCAGTACTTCCTTAGTATCCTGTTTAAAAGCATATTCAGGCGGCTGGGGGGTCGACAGGGACAGAGGTGGCACTTTCTGCTCAGTTCTTAGATACGTTTGGGATGTGCGAGCAAACCGGGACCCAAACCCTGGGCTTGCTGAAAACTAACCCGGCTCAGATTCCTGCACGGCTTTGCGAACATTAGTTAATAACCAGTTTTTTTTGTTCAGGCACAAATGTGTCAGTTGAAGTCCCTCTGATCACTGTTTTGGGTGGGATTGCATTGGTGTAAATTTCAGTATTGACAATGATTGACATTTAATTCGCATTGATTTGACTGAAACAGTTACCTTTCCAGGCATATTTCCCTGCAATAAAGGCAAAGTTCCAAATGAACATCACTCACTATTTTGTTTCGTGGCTTACTAAGAGGAACAGATTCGTTCCACTGACCTGCTTATATGTTACTTGGGCTCAGAAAGCTCTTGGCACCAGCCCTGCCCTTCCCTTACACACACGCAGCCGTGGAAGCTGAGCAGAGCTTGGCCCTGGGAATTTTCTGCGGGGCCTCCTGTCATAAATTAACTTGTGACTTTGTCAGATATTTTCAAAAGGGGTCTGTAAAGCCTTGCTGTGTTTCAGCTTCCAAGTATTATTTAATGTGAAGAGTACAGTCATTTAGCATTAACTGAGTCCCTCTTTGGCAAGAAGCACAGGCTTTTGGCAGAATTGGATTAGTCTTGCAGTACTTGTAAACCTTTTAGGGAACAGTACAGGAAGTGGGTGGTTAATGTTTCTTACATTTGAAACAAAGTACATTTACAGAACACCTTTTGCCTTGAGATTACAGGAAACTGTGTAAAACTAGTTTTGTGAATCATCTTAAATGTAAAAAAAAAAAAAGTCTTAGAGTGTGGAGTCAAGTCTTAATGGCTTGGTTTCATCTTAAAGGTAGAAGGGTCTGCAACAGCAGAAAATATTAGATTAAACCTCGCGGGGTGGAACTCCCCTTACGGTGGGTATTTATGTTCTTGCAGTGAGTCAGAGGAAAATGTGTGAACAATGCAAGCATTATACTCGTCTAACTCCACTAATGTATCAAGTTGTCTAGTATCTCAAATGTGAATTATCATTCTGGTAGAATGCAAGCTACCATGCTGCAGAAGTAATGCAAAAGAAGTTAAAAATACGTTTTCAGCTTGACAAAGGCTGGTTGTTTTCAAAATATGCCTGCGGAACACCAGCATTCTTCAAAACCTAGTCTTGACCTTACTTATCATCTAGTAATGGATATTATCCTTTCTGGACAACTGGCTGGGGAACTATTACAATTAAAATAGGCAGTATTACATCTGTAGATACTCAGTTACACCGTCTGCTACAGTTCTGCTGAACGGCTGTGAATGGAAAGGAGTTGAGTCAGAGGATAGTTGGGCAACATGAGTCTTTGGGACAAAGAACAATGGTACAATTGGTTTAATAATCAGACATTTGAAGGTGCCAATCATACATAAATAGCTTACCTGTTTTATATTAATTGCTTAGTTTTAGCTGTAGGGGGTACTTTCAGAATAACTATTACTGAGGTACTCACTGAATTACCACTCATGTTTTTTACTTACATGAACTGTAGTTATACACTGCACTTCATAGAGGTAGCCCATCACCCACAGAGGGCTTTCTACACTCAAGAGCAGGTTTTTTTTTTTAAGCATGAAAGTAAGCAGTTATTTAATCTCTGGTTTGACTCTCAATGTTTGTCTTTCAAGTGATGCCTGTATATTAAATGTATTTGCAGTAGTAATGGTGTTGATAGATAATTAAAAATAATAAATTCATTTAAGTTGATCACCTTCCCCTTTCAACCAAAAATTTAGGAAATCCTGCAAAGTGTATTTCTGATGGGTTAAGTCCATTTTTACTGGCATTGATGAATTCCACATTCTCATCTGTTTTATTTTTTACTTACAATATACATTGACTGTGCAAAGTAATCCTGTAAAAAATATTGCCCTAAGTTTTTCCTGGTTTATAAGTATTTTGCTGAGTACTACTTCTGAAAAACTCCCCATTTTGGAAGCCGAGTTGACTTTGCTCTACTTCACATATAATTTGTTACATGGATTAAAACAGCATGGGGCCCACAGTTTCTTTTTTAAGCATGAAAGTAAGCAGTTATTTAATCTCTGGTTTGACTCTCAATGTTTGTCTTTCAAGTGATGCCTGTATATTAAATGTATTTGCATTAGTAATGGTGTTGATAGATAATTAAAAATAATAAATTCATTTAAGTCTATCACCTTCCCCTTTCAAACAAAAATTTAGGAAATCCTGCAAAGTGTATTTCTGATGGGTTAAGTCCATTTTTACTGGCATTGATGAATTCCACATTCTCATCTGTTTTATTTTTTGCTTACAATATAGATTGACTGTGCAAAGTAATCATGTAAAAAATATTGCCCTAAGTTTTTCCTGGTTTATAAGTGTTTTGCTGAATACTGCTTCTGAAAAACGCCCCATTTTGGAAGCCGAGTTGACTTTGCTCTACTTCACATATAATTTGTTACATGGATTAAAACAGCATGGGGCCCAGACCAATGGTGCAGCCAAGTGTTTTCTCCCACATATCAAAAATGTCTACTCCTAATCTCAGGCTCTCTTGTGAAAACTGTTCATAACATTACTAGTCACTGACCTTGCCAGTGCTACTTCTGGCTGTACATTTTCTCACTCTCCCCTGCTCCTCCCACTTTCTGGCACTTCCCTGCTGCAGGCTCGGAACCATGGTTTAGATTGCTTCTGCAGGGTGGATTCTGCCAGCTTTGAAAGAGCTCAGGGAGCCTTGCATGAGCATGTGGTTTCATTTTTACCAGGGACAATTTTGGACCTTTTTGGACTTGGGCCAACATCCCGTCCTGTGCTGACTTTCCTTAGAAATGGAGACCCATGTACAAAATGGTTTGAAAAATACTTAATGCCATAAATGCAATCATGGAAATTTAATTTAATCTCTGACTAAGTACAGAGTGCTTATTTTCATATAAATTGCTCAAACATATTTGTATTAAACCATTTAAACTGTTTAGGAATATAAAATTCTGGGTATCTCCTCTTGCTCTTTCCTCCTCCCATAATTGTATCCTGTCTTATACTTCTTAGGGAATTTTGCTGTTCTAGAGCAGTTTCTTGTATGTGGTGTTCATAATTGTGACAGAAGATCTTTGAATATTGATGCAATATGTTACTATTTGTATCTAAACACAATCCAAATCCAAATCCGTCTACAGGACCAGCTACACATACTCAGACCAATACTGAAATTTGTTCACAGTTTTTCTTGGCATCACCTCATTGCTCTCTTGTTTCTTGCTAGCTGTACAAACAGCTATGTTCTGTTAATAGCAGAAAAGGTAAAAATTAACAAAAATTGTTGTCATGAAAGAAAGTGGTCTTGATTTGCACTGAGAATGACATGCAAATTATTGAGGACATTTAAGTTTGAAATAAGTAATTCTGTATTTGCTGTGTGATTATTACTTTGGGTCACCTGCATGTCTGCTACGAATAAAACACCTTTTTAACATATAAATATAATTTTAAGTGATCAAACTTTAATAGGACTTCTTAAGTTGCAGCCAAAATTGTATTCACTGCACTTGAGTCTAACAGACTGAACAAGAAAAGAAACTAATGTTCTGTTAATAGCAGAAAAGGTAAAAATTAACAAAAATTGTTGTCATGAAAGAAAGTGGTCTTGATTTGCACTGAGAATGACATGCAAATTATTGAGGACATTTAAGTTTGAAATAAGTAATTCTGTATTTGCTGTGTGATTATTACTTTGGGTCACCTGCATGTCTGCTACGAATAAAACACCTTTTTAACATATAAATATAATTTTAAGTGATCAAACTTTAATAGGACTTCTTAAGTTGCAGCCATTACAGCTGAATAGCTTTTGAAGGTAGGCTCTGAAATGAGATTGAAGGCAACAGTTTGTGTTGCATGTTACGTCTTTTGTTATGTGATTCTAACATATACTCAACATTGGAGAGTTTAGAGTGTGGTTTTATTTACTCATTTATCAATGTATTTTAATTTCTGGTTTGTACTGTAGATGTCAAAGGGAAAAGGGGATGTGTTAGTCATTTAATTCAATGGTGACTTTCTAGACAGCTGAGTAAGAAGTACTTACAATTTTTTCATCTCTCCATAAGAACTTTTGGTGGAATCTAATGTACATTCATAATGCCAGTGAAAACCATTATTGAGGCTTCCCAAGAGTATCTGTCTTAATACAAATAAAAAACCTACAACACTAAATGACACAAATCACATCTATTTGAGAATATGCGAATCACTAAAGAGGTAGAGGTAATGGAAGTGTAATGACATTTCACATTTCATTGTTGATTTGTGCTAGCATTATACCTCTTAGCAGAGAAGCTTAGGAAAATGAAATGGGAGGTATGCATGGAGACTGTCAGTGCAGGAGTCTCTGGGCTGTCACAGCAGAAATCTTACTCTGTTTTGTTTGCAGATCTGCTATTTGAAATTATGCATGTTCAGCCTGCAAACAACCATCC